GAGATATAACTGACAATCTTGTACTGTAACAGTAACGAATGCTCAGCTGAACACTTACCATGAAAATGTTTATACAATAAAGGCTCAGGTAAGAAACGACATGGCAGTGACTGAAAGCAGTGATGTTTAGTCAAGATTGATATCATTGCTGATTTTGGTTTCGTATTTTATATATAATTTCTAAATAAACTTCGGAAGCGAGAGAACTGAATTAACTACAACATTTAATGCGTGTACGAATTATAAACGTTGAAATGTGTAAGATAGATTCAGATGAGAAATATGTCTAGCACGATACATTGAACCAACTTACCTAGCATACCTCGCAATTGATTCAACATAATATCTACACTACCTGTCAGCGGAATACTTTAGCTTGTCAAGAAGCAATGAGTGCTTCTCTTGTATGCTAGCATCCGTCATACTGATGGAAGTCATAATAATATCTCTAAACGTTTAACATTGATCAGTCTCCTTTCGATATCAGTTGCATATTCGAAAATGGGAGCCATTTCAGGAGAACATTTCTTAAATATTATCGCAAGGATACCATCAACTCCATATCATTTATGGATACCCTGTTTATAGATGAGATCAGAAACTATGGACAAAGTTATATGCATATTACAGGATAAAAACTCAGATCTAATTAGATACTTCAGGTGAGTCAAGAGTCGAATGTGAAGTGTATTAATGAGGAAACATTGTGCATTATCAGTAGATAATGATAAAACCTCAAATTGTGTGAAGAGGAGAGGGATATAAGAATTATTCATATTTAACACACTATTGCCGAGCCGCCATTATTCACAAGAACCAAAGTGAACCAAATCTGAGAAAGCGGTTATAGATAGAGCCGACAGTTTTAACATTTTAGGACGAGTTTACGCCATGCATTCTTATAAAAGTCGCGTTCTAACGAGACAGTTTAACAACATAGTTCGGACTTTCAGTTTAATGTTGTTTGTGATGTTGTAGATTGTGGTATTTGGCTGTCAGAAATGACGCGCTTTCTACGTTCAATTTCTTTATCTGCCATGCTTTTAAGTATATTTCTCATTAGTGATCACTACACCGAGTTAATAGATTTTTTTTTTGCATTTTTCTATGTCCGCATACTGTATTTTTATAATGGATTCAAGGTGGGAGCTATGATGTTAGAGTGATTAGGTAACCCATGTTAAAATTTAATATATTAACATATTATCTATTTTAGTATACTAGATATACTATCAAGTAAATATTTGTTTATGTGGAATACACATTTTGGATTTATTCATAAGATGGCGGGTTGATTTTGTTTAGCGGCATATCAAATTCTATAGATGATTTAATACCGAAATCTAAATATTTTAAACACAATTTTATAACTTTAACTAAAAATATTTTGAATGCAATTGCAATACTTCAGTTTCAGATAACACGTATTTTTGGTCATTTGGCTTTAAATAGGTATTGCCTGTAATTAACTATAAATAGGTATTCTTGTTCAGTTTGCTATAAAATATATTTGTATACTTTAATGTTCCGTTTTGTTTGGGGGTACATTCATTCATTAGTAGAAATAAAGCTGCACTTTGTTCACATAATATATTTTGACACCAGACAAATAAGATATTACTAATAATTATAATAGGAATATGTACTATTAATTTATAGTTATATTATTATTTGCTTATATATGAGGTGAGACGATTTGATTCCTGAAATAACCCACTGAAATAAAAAAAATGATTTCTTATCAGAATTGCCAGTTTTCACTTTAAAAGTTCCCCTTTTATAAAACTAATCAATTCGAGAGATTATGGTGCCATTGCTGGAAATATTCTTCGTACTTGTTTTCCTAATTACCTTTCAGATCTTCAAAGATGTTAACATGTTAAACTTTTAATCATTTCAGCCAATGCAAGGCGATAAATCAACTAAGACGCATGGATGCTAATTAGATAAAAAAAAATCGGATAAAAATATTTATTAACCAGAGAAGACAATAAAAGGCCAAGATTCAATGAGACAGAAAAAGAGGATTGACATTCTATTTATGTTTGTGAAGATCAAAGTTGACTCTAAAAAAAGAAGCCGGAAAAAGTTTTCCAAAACCGAGAAATGAAAGTATTAGCATAGAACTTATGGTTATATCTTGCAATTTCAAGTGCAACATCTTGTGACCTAGGGGCCAATCTGATAAGGTGCTTAAATTCGTAAAGGCCACGTAGCCAAGAGGAAAGCTCAACAGAACAATTCTCAAGAAAATATTCATATTTAAAACAGAGGAAAAATACATTACGACGATGGGAATTCGACTGAAAACAAAATTCGTTCTCCAACACGAGTGAAAGAAAATTGTTTCATGTTGAGGCGCATCCACCTTCTGACTGATAATGGACTTATCCATCTATGATATAAGTCAGTGCTAGAAAGAGTAGTGGTGTTGTGTGAAGGATCAGGTTCAGCGACAGCAGTCGAGATCAGGTTACCATTACATACCGTTGGACTGTAG